ATTATTATTATAGCATTACACCTGGCCAGGGTAAACGCTCTACGTTGTTGCGGGACCTGCAGAGAGGATAAATATGAGGCCATCTTCCCTGTAGTTAGGGGGATCTCAAAGTTCAAGGGGGAGCAGGTTTTATTTGCTAGGCTGTATAATTTCTGGTGCTCCGTATCTAACATCCTGATTTGAATCTGATGAAATGCAGCAGCAAAGGGCAACATAGACAGGGAGTGTAAAGAAAGGCCCAATACTTTGATTTTTTTTCCTCAATGTGTGCTGACCAGTTTGATACACTGAGCTCCGAGAGCATGTGATATATAAGGCTCCCATGCTCGAGAGGTGGCTGAATAGAGCCTGTCCCCGCCTCCCGAATGCTGGTATTCCTTGGAGGTCTCCCATCCAAGTCCTTGCCAGAGTCGACCCTGCTTAGCTTCCAAGATCTGACGAGACGGGGCTTGCCTGGGCTTCAAACAGTTCTGAAGACGGTTCACATGACAGGTTTGCCTTTTTGCTGTCAAGTCACAGTTGACTCTGGCGTTTCCAAGGCAAGAGACTTCAGTGGTTTGCCATGGCCTGCTTTCACGTCATAACCCTGGTATTTTTTGGTGGGCTCCCTTCCACTGTAACTTTTTGTTTCCACGTGGAAGCCAATATAGCGTATAAGACAGGGAGGAAAGCAGCTTCCTGGGTAACATCCGATGGACTAGCGAGGCTTCTCTCTCTTTCAGGGCTTCCGAAATGACCCCTTCCATCATGTTTGCTCATATATTTACTTCACCTTGATCTTATTAGAGCTCGTGCTCTGCTGTTTCACAGATCAGTCTCCTTTCTTCTCCCAAGATGCTGTTGAGGTAAGCATTTGGCCTTTGCCAGGGCTCTTTTTGTAGAAAAAGCCCAGCAGGAACTCATTAGCATAATAGGCCACACCCAACAGCAGGAACTCATTAGCATTTTGGGCCACACCCCTGACAGCACAGCTCATTAGCACATTAGGCCACACCCCCATGTTACCAGACGTGTGGTCATCCAGCCACACCCACCTTTTGCTTGTTATTCTGTTTACCTTGTTTGTTGTCAAAACCCAGGGCCTTTTTTGTAGCAGGAACTCCTTTGCATGTTAGGCCACACACCCCTAATGTAGCCAATCCTAATGAGTTTCTGCTGTTGGGTGTGGCCTATTAGGCTAATGAGTTCCTGCTGGGCGTGGCCAACTTGGGAGCCAGCCGGAACTCCGTTCCTGTGCGTTCCTGCCCAAAAATAGCCCTGGCCCTTTCTGTCTTTTTGGTGGCACTTTCTTTTCTTAGGATTCTGTCTTCCATTTTTCGTTCACATTTCTATTCCTCATCCTCCATTGCTAGCACACTCCTTAAAAGGGATGGGTTGGCCACTAAGGCCGCTGGAAAAAGTTCCGGTGGGCTGCCCTCCCCCCTCCCCCCCCGCCCAAAGCAAGGGGTGACCTAATCCCTGTGTGGGGTGGTTGTAGACTGCTGCTGCAAGATAGTGGCCTGAGTGTGGCGTGGGGAATTAGTCAGCTGGCTGAGCATGGCACAGTACTGGCTGGGCAGGCTCTTTCTGTCTTCTTTGGCTGGGAGGGTGGGTTCCTTTTCCAGGGCCATCTTTTCCTCCCAGTCCACCTCTGCTCCTTAAGTTGGTGTCCTGAACCACAGGCTTGTGCCCCCCACCTCTGGTTTTCAACTGAGCAGAACAGTAGTATGAACACTGTTGTTTTAATATGGCATGAGTATCTGTTTTTTAATCTGATGAGGGTTGTGAGTTGCTGTACCTTTTTGCAGAACCAGTGTCCAGAAGGCAGGGCCTCGTTTGTGTCCCAAATCACTTTCTGGTGGTTTTTTGGGTAAGAAAACAAGCACAGCCCTTCCCTGCTGCTTAACAGATTTGTACAGGTGTTGAAAAAGCTCTTGTTTTACAGGCTGCTCTGGAAGGGATACTGGCAGCCATTACAAACAGAAGACCTGTGGTCCTTAAGAAGAGAAAATACCTCAAAAGAGATTGTGACTCAGATTGAAAAGGCATGGAAAAAGAATTGCACAACAGCCAAGCAGTAAGTGCCTCTGTCCCTAAGATGCAAGTAAGCAGGTTACCAGTTCTGTTTCCAGCAGCTGAATCTCTGAACTGCACAGTAGTGCCAGGACAGCCACTCAAGAATGTAGGTGGATCTTAGTATGAACCTGCAGGGCTCTTCTTAGCAGCAGTAAAAGCACACTTGATAGCAGGGGTCTGCAACCTGTGGCTTCAGAGCCAAATGTGACTCCGTTTCTTTAAACAAGAAAATGAAAGCTTTAAATCGAGGTCTTTTGGAGGGGTAGAAGTGATATCAGAACAATCGTTATCTGAGACTTCCGGTCTATGGCGACATGCTAGTGGACACATCTCCTGGACCTCCCGGGGATGTGATCTGCGCACCAGCAGATAGGAGGGGGGGCAATGGTTCGCTACCCCCCCCTCCTAGCCATGGGGCTTTTGAGGGGCGACCTCTTCACCGGTGCAATGCCGGAGAATTGAGGCGCTCCTCCGCCCTGACGGTCCTGCCGCTGAGTGCATGAATGGATCTAGAGCCGCTGACTGGGACAACCTTCGGAGAGCAAGCAAGTTAAACGGACTCCGAGCGAGGCCAAATGGCCGACAATGAACTGTGAGTCGGGTTAAAGTGAATATGAGAATTTAAAAAGAAAGCTACCCCCCCCCCATGGAGCGAGGAAAAGTGAGTGGGGGAGGGGCCCCTCCCAAATGCATGAATGAAAGCATTACATAAAGAGAGGGGGAAAGCAACTACTGGAACACCCTTGAAAATTGGGGACAATAACATCAGGATTTTAAAAGATATCCCATTTGAAATAAGGCAGAAGAGAAAGAAATACAAAGATTTAATCCTTTTTCAACAAACAAATAGTATTGTAATTCCAGAAGGCGTCATTTTCAGACTCCACAACAAAAAAGAAAAGATTGACTCTTGTTTTCAAAGCACGTGAGTTCCTGAGAGTACAGCTGGGAGAGCCAGCGGAGAACAAGAAGGAAGAAGAAGAAAGCAAATATGATGGCGAGCTGGGCTCGGTGTCTTCTGACAAGGGTTTTCTTTCTGAAAAGGGGGCGGCCGCCCCCAAAAGTCTATACAACTTGAGGATTAGAAAAGATAAGATAAAATAAAGGCTGAAGGACTCTGAATTGTGCCTGAAAATTATACAATAACTATGGGATGCTCTGGGGTTTTTCTTAGATAGATTGATGGGTAAAAAGATAAACAATTAAGCATAACCGACTATGTTCAAAGTAATACTAGCGATTAAGAATAATACTTATACAAGCTGTTGTTATGATCTCCTATTCTTGGGGTTTTAGTTATTAGTGGTTTTCTTTCCTTTCTCCCTAGCTGTAGTTTCCCCTTCCTAATTTTCGGTTATAGTTTGTAGTCTTTTGAAAAAAACCAATAAAAACCTCCCATTAGGGGGATTTTAAAAAGGAAAGAAAGAAAGAACAATCGTTATCTGAAGGGAATGGCCAGCAAAGATTTTTGGAGGACTAAAGGGCTTCTTAAAGATGCTTTACAGAAAGGAAAATGCTAGATGGGCACAGCTTTTCAGGAAGTGCCAAACCATGCACAAATTTATGCCAGTGCACTAAAATAACCCACACAGAATGCCTGTATATTTATTGCTTATTGTGGTATTTCACGTGTGCCACTTTGTAACAGAGAACTTGCAACAACCAGTGTCTGAGTTGCAGAAGCTTTATGAATTGTGTCAACTATACATAAGTACTATTAAGAAGTACAGTTTCAGTTGTGCGAACAGGCTTTCTTGTGCTGTCTCTTTGTTGATCTCTCGCTTTGCATTCATTTTTGTTGCAAAGAGTTGCAGAATCGGTGCAGTTTAGAAGCGAACAAGCATGGGAAGGGTCTGAAGAGACTTCTGTCCTGCTGCAGACGGAATATTGTACAAGCAAGCCACTTCTGAAAATTCTCTGGAGTATGTTTGGGCCCAGCTTTCTCCTTGGAACATTTGGTTTGGTTATTGGTGATATCTTCTTGTTTTTGATCCCAAAGACACTGAGGTACGTGGGCATGGGCAAATATGCTAAGGAGAAAATACCAGATGCACTTGCATGTATAAAATGTACCAGGCGTGTAGGCCAGAAATTATATCCTTTGGCACTGAAGATTCCTGCCACTGTATTGTAGAATACTTTACACTGAAGTGGCTGCAGCTGATTGGCAGTGTTCATTTATTTATTTATTTATTGGATTTTTATCCCAGCCTAGGGCTAGCTCAGGGCGGCTTACAATTTCACCTATCTTGAGGCAGAGTGGTAATAGACCAAAACGTTCTAAACAATTGTGCTGGGTGTGAGCTTGCAGATGGCAATCGTGGCCGCATAATACTGTGTTTTAGCGGCCTTGACTGCCATCTCATAGGATCTCATAAACGTCCTATAACATGTTCTTGTAGCTTCATTGTGGGCACGCCACCACTGCCTCTCTAGCCATCTTAGACTCCATTTCATTAGCTGCAACTCCTGGGTAAACCATGGAGCAAGCTTAGATCGGGGGCGCAGAGGGCACCGGGGAGCGATCTCGTCGATGGCTATCGTGAGTCGGCTGTGCCGGGCCTCTACAAGCTCATTCGACGAGCCACCAGGGGGCTTCGGATCCTGAAAAGCCATTTGAAGCCGCACTGGGTCCATTTGGCTCCGCGGGCGAGCCCAAATCGGCTCACCGCCCAAACAGGGTCGGAGTGGAGTATTTAAACAGGCCTTCAAGGCAAAGTGGTCCGTTCATGGCACTGCCAAGGTCCACTGTAACCCCCGCCACGAAGATCAAATCAAGCGTGTGCCCAACATGGTGGGTGGGGGCCGTTACGAATTGGGAGAGTCCTAGGGCCACCATGGACGACACTAGGTCCGCTGCCTGAGTGGAGGTCGCATCATCAACATGAACATTGAAGTCACCCAAGACTATCAGTCTAGGGTGTTCCCAGGTCCGGCCTGATACAGTCTCCACCGGGGACGGTAGGCTATTGGCCGGTAAATTGGGCAGTCGGTACTCCAGCCAAATCGCCACTCTCCTCGGCTTCCCACACCATCTCGTTGAAATATCTCATTGTAATAAGGTTATAGTAGTGTAAAGTTGCTCCAGAGTAGTATCCAGGTCCAGGGGAGCTTAACTGCTTCCAGGGTGACTGTCATCTTTTTTTGCTTCCCCATTTCTCCAGTATTTTTCTGAAAATCACTCCATCTTTATTCAGATGACCTATGTTTGCAGAAATGGCTCATGGATAGCTGTAGAGCGTGATTGGGTCTGCTGGCCTGGCACACAAGCTGTATGCAGACAGGATTCTGTACACATGATATACGGACTACACAGAGAGCCTATGCATGTACAATTTGTAGGGTCTTTAGAAACGTTTGAATTGATACATGGAAGCAGGGGTCATTTAGTAGAAAAAGGGGTGCAGGAGCTCATTAGCATAACTTATTAGCATAACTTATTTGCATATGCCACACCCCCTGACATCACCGGAAGTGTGTCAGAAGGCAACACCCACCGCTTAGGCTCCACTGGACTGTTTTGGATTGCTAGCTATTGGAGGGGGGGGGACATGCAGATCTGCCCTCACAGAGGAGGGAGAGCTTGTACCTGAAGGCGGACCGGGGGTGCTCTGCAACTTACCTGGCTGTTTCTTGCTCCTCGTGGCTCGACTGAGGGCTGCTGGGAGCAGGGGACGGGGCTTGTTGCATGTGCCCGCCCCCTGGGCTCCTTACTGCCGGAGCTTCGCTCCTGTGTGCTCCCGCAGGAAATTACCCCTGCATGGAAGCATGATCCTGTTCCCTCACCGTCCTTGTGGGCTGGCCTTAAGCATGCCATCAGAATGGGGCTCCTGTACTGAAACGCCACCATGATGGTGCTGTTGTATGGTTTTTAGCCTGCACGGGAGACGTGCTGTCATCTAGGTTTCCTCATCTTACAGCCTTTTCCTAGACTTCATCACTGATCAAGAAGCTCCCTCTTGGAAAGGTTATTTCTGTGCCGTGCTGCTGTTCCTGTTGGCTTGTATCCAAACTCTGTTTGAGCAACGCTACATGTATGTCTGTCTGGCTTTGGGAGTGAAGTTAAAGACTGCCATTACAGGCCTTGTTTATCGCAAGGTAAGCAGGGTATCTGCTACATTTCCCCCCCCCCTTCCCTTTACTTCCACGATTAACTGTTTTTATATACATTTTTCCTGCAATACACTCAAAGTGGTTTCCGAATATGCAAATACCTTACACAGTTCCGCAGGACCTGCAAGACGGAGCTCTTCCGCCAGGCCTTTGAGTAGGAGCCGCCACCACTATTCCACCACTGAGATACCATCTTCCATCTACCCCTGTTACTGGGGGGGGGGTAGATGTCGCCCGGCAGAGAAGGAAAATATCATTCCTGGTGCTCACGCCATTTAAGAAAGCTGGCCGCCCATGTGGGGTGTTGCACATCTTGGGGATTTTACGTAGATTGTTAGCGCACCGAATTTTATTATGTATGTAACAGTGTTTTATTGTTTTTTTAAAAATTAAATTCGGCATTGCTGCTTGTCAGCCGCCCTGAGCCGTCTGGGTAGGGCGGGATATAAATCCCCCCCCCAAAAAAAACATAAACATTTAACCCAAATATAACAGATTCAGACAATCGGCACAGTAGCAGGTCAGTTTCCAAAAGCCTCCAAAATGAGGACAGGTTTCAAGGGAAGGGATGAAAGAGAACAGAGGAGCTGGGCTCCTAAAGACAAGAACAAAGGAACAGGAAGCTTCGGAACCCAAGACTGGACGCTATGCACCAAATGGGAAGCTTTTTTGTCAGTGGAAACAACAGAAAATGCTGTCAGAGAAATCCATGGAAGCAGGGCTTTTTTTGTAGCAGGGACTCCTTTGCATGTTAGGCCACACACCCCTAATGTAGCCAATCCTAATGAGTTTCTGCTGTTGGGTGTGGCCTATTATGCTAATGAGTTCCTGCTGGGTGTGGCCAACTCAGGAGCCAACCGGAACTCCGTTCCTGTGCGTTCCTGCCCAAAAATAGCCCTGCGTGGAAGAATATGATAGCAGAGCAGGTGGAGACAAGATAGAGGAAGCCGGAGCACCATCTTGGAGATACTAACAGGGAAAACAAAGTGTTCACGAGAAGCAAAGGTGAGGAAAGTTGTGTAGAAGCCACTGGCTGTATACTTATTGCAGGAAAAACAAGTTTTTGCTAACAGCGCAGACCTATTGATACGGATGAGGATCATCACCAGGTGATCTTGGTGCCCAGTTATTGATTGTTTCCCCTTGGGGAGTGGAGAATGGGGAAGAGACTGCAAAATGCAACAAAAGGTGGTCCATTTTGGCCTACCTTGTAGTGAGGCACCTTCCTGAGTAGATATAAATCACCTGCCTACCATTTTTCTTCTCACCTTGGCACAGAGAGTACTCCATCTTTCTGTGTTATACCTCTGAGGATGCCAGTCACAGCTACTGGCGAAACGTCAGGTCCTACAATGCCAAGACCAAAGCCGTACAACCCGGAAAATCTACAACAGCTAATGAACTCCGGCCGTGAAAGCCTTTGAGAACAAATCCAAAAATTGTTCAACTGCCTTTTCCAAACAGGTGCGAACATGTGACATCCCCTCCCCCTTGAGGTTTGCCCTTTTCTCCCATAGATCTTAGTCCTGTCAGCTGCAGCCAAGAAAACAACAACCGTCGGGGAAATTGTCAACTTGGTGTCTGTCGATGCTCAAAAGCTAACAGACCTTATGGTCTATTTCAATGGGACCTGGCTGGCCCCTGTACGGATTATCATCTGTTTTGTCTTCCTTTGGCAGGTAAAGTTCATTTTTTTTAATGGGATCTGTTATTAAGAGGGAAGAACCTTGTGTAATCTTGGATCCACTTCTTAGCTCTTCTTCTAAATATGTGGTAAAAAGAACTACAGGGCAGTGAGTTGCAGTGAGAGACTATGGTACTACAATCTTTAATCCTTTTTTTTTTAAGAATAACTAAGAATGCATCCAAACCAGGGGACAGATGGGCTTCCAAGGTATATTTGACCCAGCAGTCCAGATGTGGGTCAGATTTAGTTGTTGCATGCCCAGATGCTATGTGGAGGTTGTTGCAGAATCCGTATGGATGGTGCCATCCAGTTAGGCAAATGCCACAGAAGGACATGGGTGCTGCTTTGGTTACTTGTAATCACCAAACTTCAGAGTGAGCCCAGACATCCAGAAGTGGAAATTTGGCATTACAGTAAATGCCAACTTTTTAAAGCCAGCAAGGGGGCATTTGGTGGCAGTGCGGTGTGTGTGTGTGTGTGGAGGTGGCCACAAGGGGTGGCTGAGGAACCTGTGTAGAAAACTCCCAAGTTGATACTTGTGTTGCTGCTGAATGTCTCTGCATGCGCAGCAGCAGTGAATTCACCTCAGAGAATCATCACCCGGTGTCTGTGGGCTTGTGTAGTAGAAGGCGATCCTGTGTCCTTTTGCAAACTTCATCTGAATTCAGAGTTGTGCAGCTGGCCACCAGATGTTGCCATTAACACAGAACATGTGTTCTGAGGGGACCGTTTCTTGGATTGCAAGAAATAGCCCTCGATCCTCCCATCTGCATGGTCAGTCCAAAGCTAATAGCCAGCACCTTCCCAAGAGAAGCTCTTTCCTATCTAGTAGGCCGTAAAATGAAGCCCTAGCATAACATCGTATTTCAGTGCAATTGTAAGCACCCTTTTTTGTTTGCTTTCAGTGAATTTAGAAAGACGCTGAACTGCAGGCTGTGGAAGGTCAGTAGTTCAGCAGTTCGAGACCCGAGTTGCCGCATGACGGAGTGAGATCCCGTCTCTAGTACCAGCTCCTGCCAACCTAGCAGTTCGGAAGCAAGAAATTGCAAGTAGATAAATAGGGACCACTTCGGTGGGAAGGGAACAGCGTTCCGTGCGCCTTGGTGTTTAGTCATGCCGGCCACATGACCACGGAAACGTCTTCGGACAGCGCTGGCTCTTCGGCTTTGAAACAGAGATGACCCTAGAGTCGGACTCGACTGGCTTTCGAGCAAGGGAACCTTTACCTTTTTAATTCTGTTTAGGATTGGACTGTATAGAATGTAACTGGAGGAGAGCTTCAGGCCATGCTCATTCTGGTCTTGCCTATTTTAAGATAAGCTGCTTATGGCTGACTGTGCTCCAGTGTTTCCATGGTTATATTTCTGTCTTGATTTACAGTAATACATTTATCACTTTAATAGCCAGATTAGCTACTTCTCTTTGGAGGCTGTGTTTTCAGTGTTGCTGTTTTGATGATGTTTTGCAGAGCTGCCTCAGGAGCCTCAGCTTCCTTTTGGTTTCAGTGGAAAATATGGAAAACCTAGAAATAATTTCAGTAAATACATTCCCTACTCAGCCAACTGGAAGTTCACTGAATGGTGACTTTGGGCCAGTTGCAGATTCTCGGTGTAGCCTTCCTTGCAGAGTTGTTATGAGGATAAGCTGGAGGAAGGGACAATGGTATATGCCACTCTGAGCTCCTTGGAGGAAAGGTAAAGGTTCCCTTGCTCAAAAGCCAGTCAAATCTGACTCTAGGGTTGCGGTGCTCATCTCTGTTTCAAAGCCGAAGAGCCAGCACTGTCCGAAGACATTTCCGTGGTCATGTGGCCGGCATGACTAAACACCAAGGTGCACGGAACGCTGTTCCCTTCCCACTGAAGTGGTACCTATTTATCTACTGGCAATTTCTTGCTTTCGAACTGCTAGGTTGGCAGGAGCTGGAACTAGAGACGGGAGCTCACTCCATCTTACGGCACACTCGGGTCTCGAACTGCTGAACTACTGACCTTCCACAGCCTGCAGTTCAACGTCTTAAAGGGCAGGATAAAATTACAATAGGCAGGAAGGTGGATGATGCCAGTGTCTGTGGACAGTGTACATGATGCAGAAGGGGCATAGCCATAGAGGAGCTTTCTCTGCATAGCCAGTTGGACAGAAAGGGCTTTCCATGGTTTGTGTTAGTTGAAATGTCATTCTAATAAGTTCTTTGGTCATTTTGTTTCATTAGCAGTTTTCTGGGTGCAGACTATTTCCATTCTTATTTCATTTCAAGGAATATATGGCAGGGTCTTTGTATGTAAACTTATTCTAATGTTTGGGGTATTTTTCTGGTGACATCTCTTGATTTTTGCACGCCCACAGCTCCTTGGGCCCTCTGCTTTGACTTCTGTTGCGGTGTTCCTGTTTCTCTTGCCTCTGAACTTTGTGATCACCAAGAAAAGAAGCCACTTCCAGGTATGTCACTGCCAGCAAATTAGCTGATGTTATGCAATCCAGTTTAAATGATACTGAGTCTTATTAAAGCAAAGGTTGTGAAATAGTAATTGCAAATGAAAGATTCTCTAAGCCAAATAAATTTAGTTCTGGGAAAGAAGTTAAAGAAGAAGAAGAAGGGGGGGGAGGAGATTGGATTTATACCCTGCCCTTCACTCGGAAGCTCAAATACTTTGGCCACCCAATGAGAAGGGAGCACTCACTGGAGAAGACCCTGATGCTGGGAAAGATTGAAGGTCAAAGAAGACAGGGACGGCAAAGGATGAGATGGTTAGACATAGATGCAACGAACATGAAGTTGAGCAAACTTCAGAGGATGGCGGAAGACCGGAAGGCCTGGCGAGATCTGGTCCATGGGGTCCCAAAGAGTCGGACTTGACTGTGCGACTGAACAACAACAACAACTTCACTCAGAGACTCAGAGCGGCTTACAAACTCCTTTCCCTTCCCCTCCCCACAACAGACACCCTGTGAGGAAGGACAGCTCTTGTCAGAACTAGGGCTTGCCCAAGGTCATCCAGCAGGTGCAAATGGAGGAGTAGGGAATCAAACCTGGTTCTCCCAGATTAGAGTCTGCACACTTAACCACTACACCAAACTACACCAAATTTAGGGGCTAGGTTAAGAATACAGATTAAGAATACAGATTCTCAAAAGGTAAAACTAAGCTTTAAAAAAAACCCCTACAAAATATACACAGCATTCTACAAATGAATTAAAAACATGATATAAGAGGCGCCCTGCCGGATGACCAGGGTCCATCTAGTATAGCATCTTGTTTTACACAATAGCCAGTTTTCCAGGCATAATGATGGTTCTCTGTATTGGGTTCTCTTTCAGGAAGTCCAAATGCAACATAAGGATAGTCGTGCCAAACTGATCAACTCTATTCTTGGCAACATTAAAATCCTTAAGTTGCATGGCTGGGAAGAGCACTTTACAGGCCAAGTGCTGGACGTCCGAATGCAGGAACTTAGGGCACTGAAGATCTCCCAGTTTCTCTTCTCAGCATCTCTGGCTTCTTTCCACTCCTCAACGTTTCTGGTGAGTCCAGTTTTGCCCATGCAGCTGAAGTCGCCCCATCCGTGGCATCCCCAGCCCCTCACCAATTTCCCCCTCCCTGCCCTACAGATTGCTTTCATCATGTTTGCCGTCTACACCTTGACAGACGAGCACCATGTCTTGAATGCCCAGAACGCCTTCGTCTCTTTGGCCCTGGTCAACATCCTCAACACTGCTCATTCATTCCTTCCCTTTTCCATTAATGCCGTCATGCAAGTGAGTCCCAGGTTGATCTTTCGTTTGGCTGCATTGCTGTGTGCTGGGGCAGGGAAAGTTGGCAACCGTCTGCCAGTGGGTCTAACCAGGCGTCATATTGAGAGTGCTCTGTATTTCTTTTAACCTTTGAACAGGAGTCCCAAATGAATTTGGGACTGCGGTGCAAGGGATGGGAGGGGGGGCTACACTTCCCTGACAGTATTTATATATATTACTGGCAAGATGTCAGTCAGTCATGAACTGGTGTTAGAACTTGCTGATCTAGTTTGACAGGTGGCTGTCATGTGACTACTAGATTGCATCATATTCTGGACTTGTCAGAATGACTCAGCAAAAGTAATTGCTATGACCTGATTGGCTGATGTGCATATATATTGCAGCAAGTTCAGTGCTACACATCTCTGTATTGGGATCGTTTGTATGCGAAGCACTTTGTCAGTTTGTACGGTGAAAGTGCTAAGAAGGACTGTGTATCTGTATCCAGTTGTCCAGTGTAAATAAGTGTAAATAAATGTAAGTACTCAGTATATAAGGAAACAGAGACTAAACTACCGTCATTCCCCTTGTGTCATGCACCCAACCTGAAACAGCCCCCACTTGAATGCTCTTTGCCCCACTGAAGCAGACATACCAGTATCAATACCTGTTACATTTCCCCAGGTGAGCAAACAGTAGCTGGGCTGTTTCAGGTCAGGGGTGGTATCATAGAAGTAATGTCACAGCTCCTTTCTCTTTCACCCTGTCTCCTTGCGTTCTGTCATGTGTTGGTTCCCAGTAACTTTGGTTACCCTTTGGGAAGAAAAAGGTAAAGGTAAAGGTTCCCTTGCTCGAAAGCCAGTCGAATCCGACTCTAGGGTTGCGGTGCTCATCTCCGTTTCCAAGCCGAAGAGCCAGCGCTGTCCGAAGACGTTTCCATGGTCCTGTGGCCAGCATGACTAAACACCAAGGCGCACGGAACGCTGTTCCCTTCCCACCGAAGTGGTCCCTATTTATCTACTTGCAATTTCTTGCTTTCGAACTGCTAGGTTGGCAGGAGCTGGAACTAGAGACGGGAGCTCACTCCATCTTGCAGCACCCGGGTCTCGAACTGCTGAACTACTGACCTTCCACAGCCTGCAGTTCAGCGTCTTGACCACTTGAGCCACCGCAGCTCCTTGGGAAGAAAAGTGGGGTATAAATAGCTAAAGAAATAAAAGGTTCCAGCTTCCGTACCTGGTATCTCCTGTCAAAGGATCTCAAACAGACAAACAAATAAACAAGAGGTGTCAAGAAACACCATTCTCTGGAGAGCCACTGTCACTCCAAGCAGATGAGACAGCACTAAGGGACCAGTGGCCAGGCTTGCTATAGGATAAGTTTATCCCTAATTCTGAAAGGAAAGGGGCTGCTGTTTAAGACTGGAGCACCTGTTTTGCATGCAGAAGGTCCCGGGTTCAGTATCAGGCAGCCAGTGTTAGGACAGACTTTTCTGTTCCTGAAATCTTGGAGAACCGCTGCCAGTCTTTTGCCAGTCACAGTAGAAAAATACTGAGCTAGAAGAATGAACAATTTGACTCCGGCAGATAGATACACAGGGCTATTTTTGGGCAGGAACAGAGTTCCGGCTGGCTCCCAAGTTGGCCACGCCCAGCAGGAACTCATTAGCATAATAGGCCACACCCAGCAGCAGAAATTCATTAGGATTGGCTACGTTAGGGGTGTGTGGCCTAACATGCAAAGGAGTCCCTGCTACAAAAAAAGGCCCTGGGTTTGGACAACAAACAAGGTAAACAGAATAAGAAGCAAAAGGTGGGTGTGGCTGGATGAGCACAATTCTGGTAACATGGGGGTGCGGCCTAATGTGCTAATGAGCTGTGCTGTCAGGGGTGTGGCCCAATATGCGAATGAGTTTCTGCTGTTGGGTGTGGCCTATTATGCTAATGAGTACCTGCTGGGCGTTTTCTACAAAAAGAGCCCTGTTACATTTTTATAGAGAGCACTGGGGCCTACTAAGCCCACAGGCATGGGCCTTCAGCTGGAGCATATATTTGTGTGTTTTATTCCAGGCCAAGGTTTCTCTCAAACGTTTAGCCACCTTTCTCTGCCTTGAAGAGCTGGAGCCACCAGCAGCAGACCGTGATTCTTTAGACAGCCGTAAGTACCAGCTTGGGGAGAAGTTGCCTTCTGTATTTTTAGAAGCCATCTCTGCCAGCTACTCCACTGATGGCTCTTGAGTCTGTCTGTACTCTTCCAATAGTTTGTACTCTCTGCCAAAAATGCAAAATCATACACTGTTACGAAGCAACTTGGAAAACTGTAATATGTCAAGCAGGACTCTGAAGAGGTAGCAGCCTAGAAATGTCCTAAGTAAATAAATAAAATAAATTCAGACGGCTGGTGGAAGCTCAGTAGATTTAATTGCCTTTCCATGAAAAATGAACATGTACCAGAGAAGGCTTCTTGTTGGCGTATTTGTTTCCTGCATACAGAGGATTTTTTTAAAATGTTGCTCGGCAGCCTTGCAGCCTGGCTCCCTCCTTCATATCTACTAATTCATAGTGAGAGCCAGTTTGGTGTAGTGGTGAAGTGCGCAGACTCTAATCTGGGAAAACCGGGTTTGATTCTCCACTTCTCCACTTGCACCTGGCTGGATGACCTTGGGCGAGCTTTAGTTCTGATAAGAGCTGTTCTTGAAAAAGAGCCGTTTCTGTCAAGAGCTCTCTCAGCCCCACCTACCTAACAGGGTGTCTGTTGTGGGGAGGGGAAGGGAAAGGAGTTTGTAAGCCGCTCTGAGACACCTTTGGGTAGTGAAGGGTGCGGTATAAATCCAATCTCTTCTCTTCTCTCTCTTCTATTTAGCTGGGTGAACTGCTGTTTGTGAATCAGGGCTAAGTGAGAATATTGCATTAGAGGGAGGTGATTGGGTTTGGATGTGGTTTTCTAGCAAATTCCTGTTCCGGTATGAAGCTCACCGGGTAACCCCAGCATAAGACTAAGGGCTGTAGCAAAGTGCTTTGCAATTGTAAAGTCCCAGGTTCAATCTCTGGTCAAACACAAAAGGATCTAGTCTCTTCCTAAGATCATGGGGAGCTGCAGACAGTGGTAGGCTAGGTAGATCAGTGCTCTGACTTGGTCCAAGACAGCATGATACGTTTGCCAGTCACCATCCTACCAGCAGGGTTGATGTGTCGCTCAACAACTCTACTGAGCTCCTCGAAGAAAAGACGGAGTACAAATGTCATGAGCAAATAAAGGAAAATCCAGTTTTTAAAAAATTAATTGTACAGAAAGACCGGCATTTATTTTAATTTTATACTCCACTTAAGGTGGCAGTAATTCTTGCTGTCATTATAACCTTAACTGTTTGTTACAGTTCATGAAGCTTATTCTATTTATATACCACACTCCCCCCCCCCACTAGGGACTCAAAATGTCTTATAACGGCATTCTGTTTCCCTCCGTTTTATCCTCACAACAAAAACCCTGTGAGGCAGGTTAAGCTGAGTATGTGTGAGACTCAGAGGTCATTTCGGGGGGGGGATGCGGGGGGACGCAGTTCCCCCGGGTGAGGTGCAGGGGGCGGGGCACATGACGAAGCCCCGCCCCCTGCTTCCGGCCGCCCCGCTTCCAGCCCTCATTCAGCCAGGAGGAGGCAGGAGAAGAGGGAGGGTAAGTTGCTCCCCCCCCGCCTCTCCCTACCCCTGCCTGCCTGGGGCCAGGGAGGGCCTTGGCGGGGCTTCCTCGCACCCGGCGGCGGCGGCCGGGACCGTTGGGGGCGGGGTGTGTGGCCTTATGACACACTTCCCGATATGTCAGGGGGTGTGGCATATGCTAATGAGTTATGCTAATGAGTCCCCCTAGCTTTTTTTCTATGAAACGACCCCTGAGTGGAACAATAAAGTTTGTGCTGCTCCTTTGTATGCCTTTTTTCTCTTTAGTACAGGGTCATATTGTTGTAAGGAATGGAACTTTCAGCTGGGGCAGAGAAGATCCTCCCTGTCTGAAAAGGTAAGTGGTTGTGTACAATTGGAGGCTTTAAAATGTTTTCCCCTGGTTTTTGTTGATTACCAAAGCATGCCGACAGATGATCACCCTCGTAAATCCATGCAACCATGGCAAAGTCTATGGGGGGGGGATTTCCCCTGTCCTAACACACAGCGCAAATAGATGGCCATAATTTCAGGCTGTTACTGTTGTCCTTTCAGTAGGTGCTAAGAACCAGAAGCTCATTGGATATTTAATGTTACTGTTATTTCAGGATGAACCTCATCGTACCCCAGGGTAGCCTGTGTGCTGTGGTTGGCCAGGTAGGAGCGGGCAAGTCCTCCTTACTCTCAGCATTGCTTGGTGAGCTGCAGAGAACAGAAGGCTGTGTGGCCCTGAAGGTAAAGTCTTTTCCTGTCCTGGGCAGTCTTTTCACCTTATAAAATAGTCTGGGGCCTGTCTACCTGAGGGATCGCCTTTCCCCGTACATTCCCCCAAGGGCACTGAGATCCGAGTTGCAGAATCGCTTGGTCCTCCCTGGCACTAGGGACGCTAAGTTAACATCGACAAGAACTAGGGCATTTTCCCTAGCTGCACCAATACTGTGGAATCAGCTCCCAAATGAAATTCGAGCTCTGCGGGATCTCCACCAATTCTGTTTGAGAGATGTTCTTCTCCATTACTTATGCAATGAAATAGGTGAAACTATTAAACTCCATGTGAATTGGACAGCTTTTCCATTGAAGTGCAATTTTTCATACATCATCAACTTATAGACTCTTGGTTAGAAGAAGACGTTTGTCGAAATGGCATCGCATTCCGGAGACCACCGTCCCGTCTTTGTCATCTTCTGTCTTTCTGTATCTGAACTTACCGACCTTCCACAGCCTGCAGTTCAGCGTCTTAACCACACGAGCCACCGCAGCTCCTGTGCTAGCTATGAGGAGGGCCTAAATCCCTATCTCCACAGAATGTATAGGATTTTATTTTTCAGTTTGGTTTAAAAACTCAAGAGTCAGGCTCTTTTTGTAGCAGGAACTCCTTTGCATATTAGGCCGCACACCCCTAATGTAGCCAATCCTCCAAGAGCTTACAGAGCTCTTCTTACAGGAGGTACTGTAAGCTCTTGGAGGATTGGCTACATTAGGGGGGTGTCGCTTAATATGCAAATGAGTACCTGCTACAAAAAGAGCCCTGCGGAAGACTATCATGCAGCAGGGATCCATGTCCCCTCTGGCTAGGGCAGTGCTGTTCCTTCTCTGCATTTGATGACCTCTGCTTCTTTTCACAGGGCACGGTGGCTTTCGTTCCCCAGGAGCCCTGGATACAAAATGCTTCTGTGGAAGACAATGTCCTTTTTGGGCAAGGGATGGAAAGGGAATGGTACGAGAGAGTGATCGCAGCCTGTGCCCTGCAGCCGGACCTGGAGGGCTTTCCTGCCGGAAGTCAGACTGAAATAGGAGATCAGGTTTGTTGCTTGCTGTGTTTGTTGGCCAGGAAGTGAAAAAAATTGACAGTGATTCGGGGCGCCTCCACAGATTGTTAAGTGCCTTCCCCGAATGAGACCCTTTTTCTTTTTAAAAGGTGGGGGTCTCATCCAGTGCTCCCTCTAAGCTGTGAAGTCCTGTGAGCAAAAATTCTACTTTGTGAGCTACCAGCATTAAAGTTGTGAGCAGGCTGTTGATTTGGCTGCTGCATAAATGAGTTTGCTGTGGACTGGAGCCCTCCTTCCTGAGCTAAGACAAAAAGGTGAGAGCCAGAGGGTTAAAAAACTGTGAGCTAGCTCATGCTAACTCAGCTTAGAGGGAACACTGGACTCTCATCATGTCCTGAACATTTTGTTTTCTTAATAATTTTTTTAAAAAATTGTTTTCTTCCCACTCTCTCTAACTGCTCTCTCTCTAAGTGCTACACACATTGGACAAAGAGAGTTGTTTTATACACAACACTCAAAGGACCTCCAGCGCAGCTCTTCTCTTTGGCTTTTACATGAAATGTGAAAAAAACAAACGTGTATGAGAACATATTTTAATTGTACTTGAATTTGGTGACACAGCGTATGCATCGTGGATAAAATAAATGTTTTGTGGCTCCACAGGGCATAAATATTTCTGGAGGACAGAAACAGAGGCTGGGATTGGCACGCGCAGAGGAATGCCGCGGTGTACCTCCTGGACGACCCGCTGTCTGCTGTGGATGCCCAGGTTGGCCAGCACATTTTTGAGCAGGTCATTGGACCCAATGGCTTGTTGAAAGACAAGGTATGATTAGCTCGGTCTCCTGTGTTGCTACTATGTCTGCCTTTGTATTGAGGCTCCAGAAGGCTCCAGTGTATAGAATCAAACAGGCAGGAAGCAGACTTGAAAGAACAGCACCATCGGCACAACCACACTGAAGATCAAATTTGTGCTAAATCTGGTCTGCTGGTTATGGTAAGGGTTATTGGGCACCTATATGCAAATATGAAATATGTATGCGTAATGTCAGTTTCATGGAGCTGCGGTGGCTCAAGTGGTTAAGACGCTGAACTGCAGGCTGTGGAAGGTCGGTAGTTCAGCAGTTCGAGACCCAAGTTGCCGCATGACAAAGTGAGCTCCCGTCTCTAGTTCCAGCTCCTGCCAACCTAGCAGTTCGAAAGCAAGAAATTGCAAGTAGATAAATAGGGACCACTTCGGTGGGATGGTAACAGCGTTCCGTGTGCCTTGGTGTTTAGTCATGCCGGCCACCTGACCACGGAAACGTCTTCGGACAGCGCTGGCTCTTCGGCTTTGAAACGGAGATGAGCACCGCAACCCTAGAGTCGGATTCGACTGGCTTTCGAGCAAGGAAACCTTTACCTTTACCTTTAATGTCAGTTTCAGATTGTGTGCATGCCCATTTAAATCCTATGACTAATCATGCTGGATCAGGCCATCTAGCACAAAATCTGCAATAGGAGGAATAATATACAAAGCCCTTCATGGTTTTGGTCCCTCTAACACGACAGCTTTGCTCGTCTGAGCAGGGCCTTTTGCAGGTGCCAGCCTGCAATTGGGCAAAATCAACAACTGCCTGTACATGTGCTTCCTTCATTGTGGCACCTACCTTATCGAATGTCCTGCCCCAAGAGGTCAGGAAGGCTCCCGCTCTCCTCCCATTTTGCAAACTGTGCAAAACTGAATTATTCAAGAAGGCTTTTCTGCACAGGTATTATTATATTCTCCTGCCAACCTAGCAGTTCGAAAGCAAGAAATTGCAAGTAGATAAATAGGTACCACTTCGGTGGGAAGGTAACAGCATTCCGTGCGCCTTGGTGTTTAGTCATGCCGGCCACATGACCACGGAAAACGTCTTCGGACAGCGCTGGCTCTTCGGCTTTGAAACGGAGATGAGCACCGCAACCCTAGCGTTGGATTCGACTGGCTTTCGAGCAAGGGAAACCTTTACCTTTACCTTTATTATTATATTA